GCGTTGGCTTTATTTGATAGCCTCGTTGGGTCAGCAGCTTTCCAGTCAGGGGGAACCACACCTCCCCCCGGCTTTCGTGGTTAGCGTGAGACCCCCCTTCATCCCCGAATACGTGTGGCCCTCCTCCGCCAACGAAGACAGCGAGAGGAGGTTGTAGGGGGCCTCTGGTACATGGGCAGCATTCAGTACTGGTACGGGTACTCCACCATCTTCCGTCTGTAGGACTAAGGTCACATCTCCGTATCCTAGAAGAGGAACGGGGGCCTTGTCGCCTCCGATCCCCTTCACCCAACCGCTACGCTCACGGTAGTTCACGAAGTTGTCTGCACATCGGAACATGGAGCACGTGGCCGCTGTGTCGGCCACGTACACCGCCTGGCCTTGTTCCACAACCCCCACTAGACCTACTTCACCAACGGTACCACACTCGGCCCGGGGGGACTGCCACGGCAAAAAACGCCTGGTCTTCCACGGAGTCCACGTCGCTCTCATGCTCCACCACTTGCGCTAGGACGGCCTCCTCCGTCGCGCACTTTTCTTTGGTGTGGCCCCACCCCTCGCAGCGCACATACCACGGCACGAAGTCCTTCTCGTTGGTAGTGCAGCCGATCGCTTAATGTCCATGATGTCCACACCTAAAGCACCGGCCCGGGGAACTTAAAGTCTCCGCCACCGCCGCCGCCACGACCACGACCTTGCCCCTGGCTCCTACCTGAGTACCGCTCCCTGCGGCCCTCACCGTCGGCGAAGTACGCTTGCTCTGCACCCTTCGCCCCTTTTCCTTTCCCCTGCTCCAGCTTGTCCTTGATCACCTTGTATTCGATCATTACTTCCTTTAGCACACTGGTCCGCGTCAACTCCTTCGCGTGTCGCAGGTTGTGCTTTGTCATGACATACTCGTCCGAAAGGGCATCCAGGAAGAGGTGAAGGACGAACTTTTCGTTGACAGTTAGTCCTTTCTCGGTTGAGGACTTTGCGGTTTGGAGCATCTCATTGAGGGTGCTTTGGGGATTTTCACCTCCGGAGATCTTGGTCGACGTCAGGGACTTGATGTCCTCTGACGGCTGTACAGATGATTCAGGGTCGTGTACGGCCTTGAGCTCACGAAGAGCTCCCTGGGGCGTCTCTGCTGCTTCATGATTTTCCGATCTTTTTCTTTCAACGCGTGCGACAGGAAGTTCCACGCGTGGAATGCGAGCTCTACTTGCTCGCTCCGGTACTGCTGTGACAGCGAAAACTTGCTCTTTCCACTGTTGACGGGAATCTCCAAGCTCCCGCTCTCTTCAAATTGTTCCTACATGTTTGCGCCATTAGCTGCAATGCGGAAATCATTTAGCCATTCGTTGAAATCTTTCGATTTCCCGCTGAACGGAGGAGAAGTGTACCGCACACTTTGGTACCCCGTCGCTGGGGTTGTGGCTCCGTATCCAAAGCCAACAGCAGCACCACCATCTTCCATGGCACTACTATAATCTTGGTGGTGAGCAGCGGCTACTCTCACCTCTTGGGGGACAAAGCCCCCTGCTTCGCCGCTGTGTCGCCCTGATGGGCCACACTCTCGAACAGGTTCGCGCAGGTACCTCCCGTCCTGCGCACTCCCGGTCCACGGTGCCCCTACTTCGGCGTTCGTGGACTCCGCGGCGGCGCTCTCCCTAGCATCGCCGAGATCAGCGGCACCCTCCATGGTGCCAGCTGGCTCCTCCTTATTGCTTGTCTTCATGGTATCTTCCACTAGCGACATTAGCTGGCCCGTCTGATCCGTCAGCGAGTTAACTTGCGTCCTCAGGGCCACGAGCTCTTCTCTTGACCTCTTTCTGTCTTCCGCCGCAGAGTCGCTGGAGGAGTCACCCCCATCTTTGCTACCTGACATTTCTAATGGACTCTCCCTCGAGGGACTGACACTAGTGTGTTCGTATATGTCCTTTACTTGGATGGGGGAGACGTTCTATCTCTTGTATTGGACACGCAAGGGGAGTAGGGAGAAGTGAAGCCCGCTTTGGAGTTCGAGGGGTCCCCGCACATGCAACTATTTCAAGGTATACATTTGCCCCATCTGCGTGCCCTCTGTTGTTGCAGGCAGATCTGACCAGTCCGTACCCAAACACACGAACATGGAGTACCGAGAGCGTCTGGCGTTGGATTTGCAGCGCAGAGTTTACTCGATTCACCATTGATGGAGGGTTGTGCGTGGAAAAAAAATCGACTGCAATATATTTGGTCGCCTCTGTTGTACAATAGATTGCTATGCCCACTAGACAACCGGAGATGACCAAGATGTTTCACCCCGTGGATCGCGAAATTAGCAAGAAAACTGTTTGTCATTCCACGACGGAAGATGGTACAGTATCTACACCAAAGTGATACCTTTTGGGAAAGCCTCGCAACCCCATTCCAACACCTCCCTCCGCTGTGGACTATATGTATTTTGACTTTTATTCTTTGGTTGTCACCTGTATATATAGACTAATAGAGAACGGTCGTCTTATGTCTTCTTCTCATACTTCCCTTCCTCCCAAACCCTCACCGCCATCCGTCTCGCTACGGTCGCCCGCCCCATTTGGGGGCGGCGGGCCAATCCTTGACCCTAGTGAACCCAGTACCCAAGGGTCGGACGTTTATCAGAATTCGCCCCGATGCTTACGTTCAGCTACCAGAACAAGTCCTCGCATGAGGTCGAGATGGTGCATGCTTCTTCGTATAGAAGCTTCAAATCTGGTATCTCTAATCCACAGGCGAACCTGAAACTCGTGATTGTGCCCCCTTGATGCATGTAAACAGCCAGAAATGACTGGACGAGAAACACGGACCAAACTCAACCTATTCACTATCGTTTTCAAGGCGAGGTCTCCGTACAGTAAATGATTCCCGAATAGACACGGATGTCGTTGTCGGAAAGCCAGCATCCTCGATCGTTATTTGCTGCATTCGCCCATGTTCGGCTCTGTCCAATGCCCCATCTCCGAAAGAGTCGCCTGAACATCCTCAGACTTGCGTCCATAGCGGGGAACTCCGTCTCTCGTTGTGCACTTACTTGAGGATGATCTCTGCACGGCCGCGATATGAGAGAGGGAAAATCGAAACGTTCTCTCTCCTGGTTCTTCTCCACGCGCGCTTAGATGGCTAGCGTTTGCGCTGACCGGATGTGAACGTCACAAATCGTTCTCGCCATGCTTTGCCCACTCACCGGCAGATGGTTCTCCGCGCGGTCAAAACGTCTGGTTCATTTAGAGGTGGGCTCCTCTAGTTGTTGGTTGACAGTAACATGGGTTTCCGGCCAGTACTACCAGACGGAAACGGCGTCCGTAACTGGGACCAAATTCGGTGGCGAAAACAGGTTTGATTGCGCCGAAGGCGCTTACGCCAGAGAGGTGCACGTGTCCATCGACACCGTGGGGTTCGTGGGGTTCGTCCTCTGGTGTTCAGACGGAGAAAGCAAAGTCTGTGGGGCATGTTTCGGTTGCGGCGGCTGGTATCACAATGTGGATTGCACCGGCGGGTTGACGGAAGTATCTCTAACTCCGAGTATGAACGAGGATGACGAGTATTTAGCGAACGCTAACTTTTTCTGCTACAACGAGGACAAACCATCCGGTAAATCCCTCGGACTATATCCGTGAAGTCGCGTGGACAGTAGCGCCGCCTGATCTACCATACTGGCGGGGGTGGAAGGATCTGGTAATATCGAATGTAAGGATACCCTGCACGTGCTCGCTCTGTTGCTTGGGAGCTCCGTAGCATGCGTGGCGATGTCGGGTTTGCCACGATTGGTGTTTCACACCTGATCGGCAGACCTTCTTGTACGCTAATTTGACCGACTCAATCTTCTCCTGCCGCCCACCCTACCTCGTTTGCCGTGATGAGCAACGCAGACCCGAAGAAGGAAATCCAGACACATTCGCCGAGATCACGGCACTATCATGCGCTGACGGCACCTATGCGGCTGGGATATCGGCATTCGAGAGTTTTTGTGTATTATTTGGTGCGGCGCTCCGTTCCAGGACCATCGACGAGGCTTCGTGTCCGGCTCCCAATGGCCTGCTTGCACCGGGCACCCCCAAAACCGCGTATGATTATCCAATTCCCCTGCCACACCAAACGCACTCGTGTTCCTGCAGTCGCTCCTAGAAATCCCGTGGTTCGTGGAATATGTGCCATGTTCTGGGGTTGGTTTCCTTTCACGGCGCCGCTGCGTCCATGGCTGCCCAACGCAACTCCCTTTTCAGACACGACCAACAACACACCGGGCACCACTCCACCCACTGTGGGTCCTACGGTGACGCCGGGGTTCCCCGACTTTTACGACGCCCCCCTAAACGGCGCAGGCGACGTAGACGTCGTCGGTGACGCCACCAACTGGACCAAGGCACTGATAGTCATCTTGAGCACCGTCGCGGCGGCGATTACATTCTTCGCTTTCGTGTTCCACCGGCTACTCGGGTGCCCTGACGGTGGTGACGATTATGACAACGACGTCAACGACCGGGTCGGCGGCATCAATGGCAACACAATCAACTGTGTTTGCGGATGTCACAACTCGATCGGCGACACCACCGACATCACCCCACCGCAAGCTGAGGTACATGGCGACAACGTAGCCAACGGTTGCACCTCCTGCGAAAACTGCAGCGAAGACATTTCAGCGCGCGCAGCAGCCCGGTACACGTTTGAGGGTTTTGCAACGACATCGGGGCAATGCGAGCGAATCTGAAGCCAAGACACATGTGATACAGTAGTTACTTCTATTTTTAAGGGTTGCAGCCGCTACCTTTGGATTGTTTTGTTTGGTGTGCAAGAAAGGCAGTTCACAATGCGTTATCTGCCTTCCCGCCCGTCCATCCCCAACACTATTCAAAAAGATTCTTGCTGGTTTCGGTATGTGTTTGGCAAATATGGTTCTGCTCCGTTCACAGACGGGGATGACGACGCCCGTTTCACCGTCGTGGTTAATTCTTCTCTCGGGGCGCCCAGAACCTCTGTGTTGACGGGCAGGGTGAGTTGTGGTGGTCCCCGCATGAAAAGCGATTTGATGTGTCGGTCAAAATCGAAAACCAGTATTTGTTAATTCTTCTCTCGGGGCGGCCAGAAACTCTGTGTTGACGGGCAGGGTGAGTTGTGGTGGTCCCCGCATGAAAAGCAATTTGATGTGTCGGTCAAAATCGAAAACCAGTATTTGTTAATTCTTCTCTCGGGGCGGCCAGAAACTCTGTGTTGACGGGCAGGGTGAGTTGTGGTGGTCCCCGCATGAAAAGCGATTTGATGTGTCGGTCAAAATCGAAACCAGTATTTGCGAGCTTCGGCTCAACCGAAGACGTTTGTAGAGCGGGGATCAACTTTTCGCGTATTCCTTGCGGGGTACGTGTACATACGTAGGTATTCTCATCATGCCTCTGTCAAGTTCCGTACCGCGTGTACGCAGCGTTTTTACAGCAGCATGTTTCTTTCTTGACGTATATTGTTTTTTCTTCGCACAGACTGCGGTCGTCCCGGTGGTCTAGTGTGTGGCCTCGAAACCTTCTAGAGGTCGGGTCAATCAGGGGTTCGAATCCCGGCATAACTGAGCTTCTCTTGCAAAGTGAGTTTTTTTCTCGCTTTCGCCTCTGGCCTAGTGGATAGCGCTATGTAGTTCGTGTGTACATAGAAGGAAGAGAGTGCTGACCTCTTCTCGCATTAAAAATCGAAGGCAACGCATCGCAGGAGGGGAGGGCAAAGAGGCGTCCTGCTGTGTGACTATTATAACGGTTGGAATAAACGGCACTAAATAGTGCTGTGAGCGCTGAATTGAAGTGAAGACAAAAAATAACAAATGGTCTTAGAAAACCGCACCTGGCCGTGTCCTCATCCTCAAGATATGGCGATGGAGTCAAGCCGTGTCAGAAGGCTTTTGGCGGTGCCGATACAAAGCCTTGTCATGTGTTCCTTGACTTTTTTTGTCGTCACGGGCTGTCGCCGTCCTCGTAGGTCCCTTTGTTGACGGTTACATGTGGTTGCTACGGCGGTGCTTGCCGCCAATCTACGCCAGCCAGAAGTTGCTAACATGTGATTGCTACGGCGTCTGCCACCACCACGCGCCTCGTCGACGATTGCTGTCTTCCTTGTTGCGGTGGTGCCGGCCGCATACTCACATTTTTCGGGGGCTTCATGCACGCTTTCTTGCATGTTCAGATGTTGATCGATGTCGCGCGGTGCTCAACACATTTTGGCCCGCTTTCAGAAGTTGGTCGGTGAGGCGGGTTTGCCGTCGGTTTGCGCAATGGCCAGTTGCGGACGGGCGTTGCAGACTTTTCGCGCTTGCCACCAATATACCGTTTTCTTCACGGTCGCTTGACACATAACTCAATGGAGCCGACGTGGTACCAACGGGATGTTGCCGATGTTGCCGCGGTGCTTACCGGGTGGCTGCCTCTTCCCAGGTGTTGCCGCATCTCATGCCCAGCAAGCTGACCTTCCGCAACGATTTCGGGGGACAAAGTCCATTGGCGCATGGGTTGTCCGTAGAGTACCGGCAGTGGGTGGAAGCAAATGCCTAAACGGGTTAGCTTCCCTCCCCCACCATTATTTCTAGACATCGGCCTCGCCACTCCGCGTTCGGAATATTGCGTCATGCGTCACCCGCCCTCGCTGGTTCACCAGCGTAGGGTTCCCCCGCCAAAGATGTTTCAAGTATCTTATCGACATTTGCATGAAAACCCGAAGCTTGGAAATACAACATCTGACGCAAGTTCCGAACTTGTCTCATCGATTGCCACACACTGCACAGGCGCACACGCAGCAGCTGTGCGGCCTACTCCTTCACGGGAACAACAGATAAACTGTCGTAAATAGTGGGCCCGGCGCTGCGTTGCGATTTTCTGTGCTGTGCCATGTTTTCTCGGCTCCCAGCCTGGATAGTGGCATGTTTTCGGCATTTACCCCGAAACCTGCTCATCTGAATTTCGTGTAGCGACAGTCCGCCCCGTTGCCGTCGCGCACATCGGGGAGGTCGTGTTTGCTTGGCTTGCGCATCCTCAAGCGTAGGCGACATCCTGACCGGGCAATACGAAGTCAGAGGTTATTTTCGCCTTGATCCATACACCCTTATGTTGGTAGATGGATACCCGTCCGTTTCGGGGGTTCCCGTGTTGGCGCAGAACGTACCGGTATTGGCGGGTGCCCCCGTCCGTATATGAAATAGCCCATGCTGTAGAAAGGATAGTCAACTTCATCGGGCGCACACAGATGAACGTTGCCTCGAGGATTTCGAGGCGACAAACCCCAACCGCAATGAACAAAACACCGTTGTCGTGGTCACTGATCTGGTCGGATGCGCGCCTTGCTGGAACTGCAACAAGGGAACGTTACTCACCTCTCCTGTGGCGGGGATGGCGGCTCGTCCGTCTTGCGCCACGGAGACCTCGTTTGCGTTCACACCTCCCGGAACGAGGTAGGTTGATAGTTTTGTCGGTTCTCCGGGGAGGGTGGCGAGTTCCGTGCATGAGGTCAAGTGCGCGGGGGTGGGGCGGTCCGGTCGCCTGGGTGGCTCCCCCGGCACCACGTGGGCGAAACGTTCTGCCGCCGAGTCGCTCTGAAAGGGCTTCGACTATAAGTTGAACATGGCGTGAAACGAACATAATGGCGGAGGGGACGACTGGAACCCTACGTCATGGCTCAGAACGCTTTGGTGCTAGCTCGACGGTGGGCGCGGGCCTCACATTTTACCACCTGAAATTTAAGTCGGAATCAACGCTCAGGTAGCGCCTTGGTTAGGGTGGTAGTGTTCGCCACACATGCGTCTGCGAGCGCTTGCGTCCGGCTCTCGACCACCGAGCGCATCGCAATTACGCGGGGTGTTGCTTTCTTCTCCGTCGCACATTATACCGTGCCCGGATGTTTAGCCGCTTCTTCACCTTGAGGTCACAGGTGCTCCCTTGGCCGAAGCTGAAAATCGTAGATTCCAACCCTCTTGTTTGGCAAGCCTGCAGGCTGTGATTCAAGCCATCGTGACGCTTGCTAGCGCGGGCTACGACACTTCTGCAGTTAGAGCCGTAGCGGGCTACTTGCACGCCGGCCAAGCTCTAGCGAGGAGCTTGTCTTCCGGCTACTTGTCTATGCGGTTCTCGATGATGGTAGCCGTGGGTGTGCGACCCGGAACACAAACAACAGGTTTTCGTTTGCTGATCGCGGGTTATCACCCCCATCAACTCTGGACGCCATTGTACACCGTCAGCATATGTTTGGCGCACCAGCTGAGGTCAGTGTCACACCACAGGAGGCAGGTTCCGTAAGGTTGCGAGTCAGCGCACCCCCGTTTGGTCGATTTTTACACTTTTCGCCATTTCATTGGGATCGCACCCCGTGGTATGACTTCAGACCGTGAGGAGACCCTGGGCCCTGTGCAGAAATCGAATTAAATCATTTGATTTGATATGTAGCACATGTTGAGTAGCTTTGTGCGTCGGTGCCTTGGCGCGCGGGGTCCCTTGGTTGGGAAATAAAAGAGCCAGCGGCGCGGTAGCCGCCAACGGCACAGTGTAGGAACTATGATGAGCGTGACAGCCTTCTACGTTGTGGAGCGTGATAGCTCGGGTATGGTATCTCTGGATGTGGCGTGGAAGCCTGGTGACATGATAGTCGTGGTGCACATGTATAAGTAAGGACGTGGATGTCCGGAAGGCGTGATAGCCGGGTGGCGTGATAGCCAGGATTTGCGTGAAAGTCGTGGCGTGATAGCCGTGGTAGCGTGATAGCCGGGGGAAAAGGACTTGATTGCACACAGGAAGGAGAAAAGTAACGAGGAAACGAAAAACAAGTGAGAAACCACAACGCACAATCACCATATCCGCTGTAGACACACACATACCCCCACCCTCAATCCTGTAATATACGGCAAAGTTGGTACCATCAAATCGAATCCAAAGCAACTGCTGAGCCCCCAAACTCCCCGCTCCATCTGCTCGGAAATTTCTTGCTTGCAAGAATCTGTCGATGCTGTGCGTACGTCTAACAGCCCCCCTACTCGCTGCATTGACAAGACCACACCCGGACTTTAACGTACTATCCTTATTATCATCCCATACATACCACATTCCTGACCGAAATGAAATTTAGTGCAAGACATTCCCTTCATCCCAAACTGCATTCTTTTCACAACACTAAAACCCTTAAACCAGAAACATTCATTATAATTCCTACAGGTTTGCATAATTGCCAACCATTAAACCAGAAATACTTGCGACAATTTCCACCGGTCAATCTTGAACTCAATTTCTCAGAAAATCACACAAATCAAGACAAAAACCAAAAATCGAAAGAAATATAAACAAAAGACACAAGACCCAAAAACGAAAAAGATCTCCCGGACTATTCACTTCAAGTTCATCACGTAGTCCCGGTGGGAAACAACTCTCTCTCAGGTAGCGCCTTCGTGAGGAAGTCAGCATGCTGATACTTCGACGCTCCGTGGATGATATCTACCTCCTTCTCATCTACGAGCTGCCTGAGGAAGTGATGCCGCACGTCGATGTGCTTCGAGTTGGAATTCGAGATCGGGTGTTTTGCGATCTGGATAGCCCCTTCGTTATCTTCATGCAGTGGACTGCACGGCCGCAACTCCTTAGGCAACATGAAACGCCAAACCTGCCTCAAAAACAAAATCACCTTCCCCATGTCCGCCATCGCCACGTATTCTGCCTGCGTGGTAGACAAAGTCACACATTCCTGAGTCTTGGAGAACCATGCAATCGCCCCTCCTGCACACATCACTACCCCTCCCGAAACCGACCTACGGTCTGCCGCACGGGAAGCGTAGTCCGCGTCGACAAACGCAATCAAAGAAAATCCCGAAACCGTCCTCCTCTGAAAAGAAATCCCCAAAGAACTAGTCCTAACTGCATATCCTAAAATGCGAAGTGCAGCCTTCCAGTTGATCAACTTCGGTGCACTACAGTACCTCACCACTGCTCTCACCGAATTCGCGATATCCGGCCTAGTCAACAAGGCAATCCACAACAGCGAACCGACCAGCGCGCGAAAAGGGTACTCTACGCTCGGCT